GTTAAAGCAGATCACCACACAAAAAAATATTGATGTAATTTACCACTTAAAATTTTTATTTTCAAAAAATCAAATGTAAATTTAATAGTAAGTTCGTTACATTGTTGTTTTTAAAATCTAATAGAAAGTATAATCTGAATGAAAAGTATAATTTCAGTCAATTTTTATTGTTAATATTCTTCTTTTTTTTTTTGTGACAATTTACTTTAAGACAATAATTTTAGAGGGAATTTACACCTTTTACCTAAAAAAAAAAATTGCTCAGTAATATGAATTGAACGACTTCAGATTATTGGAAAACAAAATATATTCTTTAAACATCCTTATTAAGGTGAAATTCCTTTTAAACAGATATAGCCAGAGACACCAAACCTAAAATTTTTCTATGCCTACGTAGACGCATCAATTTCTACAAGCTCTAATTAACCAAATGAACTTTGAGGGCAAGTAATGACGAAACGAACTCATAGCTTAAATTCAGCAACTATACTTTTAGCAGAGCCCATTTACGCAAACAAAACAAAGAAAACCTTAACAAACATATATCGACAAAATCAAAGAAAAACAGAAAAGAATGGGTTTATTTAATAAATAGTCTAGTATTTTTATTTTTTTTTTTGGTTTCGTCTACTATTTGTTGATATTTTCAAATTTATTTATTATCTTTTACTTTTATTTCAGTTTAGTCCAGGATATTAACTTTCTAACAGTAGTTTTATTCTGTTTGGTCAAATTGATTTTCAACTATATTTTTTATGAATTTTTACTCCATGAAATTAATTTTGAAATAAAACTAATTTTATGAAGATAATAAATTCTTTTTCATTATTTGAAGAACTGTAATTTTTATCAAATATTATTTCAACTTTCCCTTTTAACAATTCTTCTTTATAGCAAAAACTATAATTATTAACATATTTTAATAGTTTATACAGTTTGTTGTAAACTACTTTTTTGGTTAGAATTACTCTATTTTAATTTTGATTTAACTTTTTTGTTATTTTTCTATTAAAATTAATGCAATTTTTGTAAAGTAAACTATTCTGAAATATTTTTACAAAGTTTATATACTATTCAGAAAGAAAACTAACTTTATAAACTAAAATGAAATTAGGTTAATAGTTAATAAACCAATCATTGAATTAAGTCAAAAGAATGCAAAGTCAAATTTAGAAATTACTAAATAAACCGAATAAAAAAGGACAGTAAAGAAAACAAGCAAAAGGAACTAAGCGTGACTTCTATGAAGAAAATTCAAACCTCACTCTTCCGTATTCCAAGATAAAAGTTTAAGAATTAAGAACATGACACACCTGAAAAGCAGAATAATTCAGTCTTTATTTAGTTGAAGAAAACTTCTAAGTATAAAATTCTGTTTCTCTCCTCCTCTCTGTCTCACGCCTTTCCTTGCTCTTTCTGTTTCTATTTTGGATTTTTTTTTTCTACCCCCATCTAAACAATCAAAGCTACTATTTATACAAAAGGAGAGAGAATTTAGACTCTTTACATTAATTCTAAACCCTAATTCAAATGATAGACAATAACCCAATCATATTTGGAATTAGAATTCTAAAATTGAGTTTGTTCTTCATACATCTTCCCTCTTTCAAGGAGTAAAGGTGCAAATAAGTATTCCAACTTTACACTTTTTTTATTTAAGGATGTCAACTTTGTTAGTTTCTAAATAAGAATGTCAACTTTCAACTTTTTCTAAATAAGAATGTCAACTTTCAACTTTCAACTTTCAACTTTTTTCTATTTAAAGATGTCAACTTTAAACTTTTTCTATTTAAGGATTAATTGAATAGTGATGCTAACGTGGCTAACATATTTTTTTAGGTTAAATACTTGAATTGGTCCCTCAACTTTTATTTTTGAACCAATTCATCTTTGAACTTTAAAAAGTACCGAAAACGTTATTCAACTTCAATTTTCAATTAATAAAATTATTTCATAATTCATGGAAGAATTAATTAACTTTTATTTAATTTTATTAAATGGTAGGTGGGACTAGTTAAATGGGGAAATATATCAATTGTTTTAATTTTTAAATATAAATAAAGTAAAATTAAGAATTAAAGTAGTTTTTAAATTATTTAAAATTAAAAAAATCCACATAATCATCTTTTACATGATGGATTTTCAACCTAATATTGAAAATGTAAAATAGTCAATCACTTAGCGAAAAAATTAGCTACATCAACATTTAATTGACGGAAATATGAAATTGAAAATTGAAGTTGAAGGATGTTTTTGGTACTTTTTAAAGTTTAAGGATGAATTTGTTCAAAAATTAAGGTTGAGGGACCAATTCAGATATTTAACCTAAAAAAATATGTTAACCACATCAGCATCACTATTCAATTAATCCTTAAATAGAAAAAATTGAAAGTTGACATCCTTAAATAGAAAAAGTTGAAAATTGACATCTTTATTTAGAAAAAATTGAAAGTTGACATCTTTGTTTAGAAACTAACAAAGTTAACATCCTTAAATAGAAAAAAATGCAAAGTTAAAATCCTTATTTGCACCTTTACTCCTCTTTCAAGGCTAGATTACCTTTGGGCATTATGAATTAAGGCTACAATCTTTGAGCTAATTTCAGATTATTGTGACTTGTGATTTCTCCTGATTTCCTTGGTTGCTTGATTTTAGCTCTGAAAATCCCCTCAAATAATCGTTATTTCATTGAATATGAATTGATAAAATTTTTTGAGAGAAATCAAAAGAGAAACTGTTACAAAATTGACAATAGGGCAACTAACGCAGCTATCAGAAACTAGGGAAGAAATAGAAGAAATACCAACGCAACTTTTAAGAATTTAGGAATTTTCTTTTTTCGATGTAGGGCTCGATTAGGGGTAAAAACTTACTTTGAGCCATTTACTTTAATAAATTTGTAAGTTTTAACCCCCCACCTATACAAATTGAAAAAAATAACCCATATTTAATGTCAGCTTATAATGTTTTGTTAGTTCTATTAGCTAACTATTAGTTCTGTTAACTAATTATTAACTCTGTTAGTTGATGGTTAGTATTTTGTTAATGGAACTAACAAGTAAAATTGAATTTAAATTTCATGTTTTTTATAATAGAATGATAACAGTCAACTAATAGAACTAATAGTAGTTAACAGAACTAACAGTTAGCTAACAAAACGTTAAATAAGAGCTATTTTCTTCAATTCTTATAGGTGAGGGACTAAAAATGTCATTGTCTAAAGTGGGGAGTTAAAACCTACAAATTTATTAAGTTAAAAGGTTAAAATAGGTTTATGCTCTGATCGAGTCCCTTTTATTTTCCATTGAACAGTGTTTAAATGACGTCGTTTTTTCTGCAGCTTATGTTTAGATTCTCATGATTTCTTTTTCATCAATTTAGTCTTGTAATTCACAATTTTAAAATCTTAGCTTTTTACAATTAAGTACAATTTATTTTATTTTTATGCAATTCATTTTCATTTTGTTATTGAAGTCCTAAAATGGAATTTATCAGAAATTAATTTTAATTGAGGTTTTGTAAAAAATTTTCAATTATATACCCAATCAAAATTGAGTTATGACAAAATATCAAATAATGATAAAACTCATATGCT